CGACCAATGTGCCATCGGCCAGCCTTCCAGTATTTCAGAGCATCCAGCTCACACCTCTCTCTCTCTCTCTCTCTCTCTCTCTCTCTCTCTCTCTCTCTCTATCGTCTACTCTCTTCTTAATCGATGGTCAGATTTCATAAGGACTGACATGAATAATAGTGAGAAAAGGTGGGGCAGCTACTGGAGACTGCAGTGACACTGTGATTTAGTTCTGCGGTGGATTGCTCATACTTCCAAGGGTCATCAGCAGCAGCACAGCCACACCTTGGCTCCAGGAGAAAGCAGTGAGTGTGAAGCAAGCTGCCTGCAGCTCCAGGAAGTGGATGGGCAGCGTGTGAACCGGCTGGCCCAGGGCTCCCACAGTGGGAAGCTGTTTACTCTCTCACCAAGGACAGAGAGTGAGACACAGTCGATCTGTGATGATGATCAGCCAGATCAACGCGTTCTAACTGACCCGCTTTCGTCAGTTTTTTTCCCCCCAACTGTGGTTCAATGGCCTGTGAATGTTTGCTTTCAGAAGAAAAGAATTTTTTTATTTAAATAAATCATGTCACGGTCAAAGGAAGCTTTTGTTGCTTCATAGTCTACTCCCCTCTTATTCATATTGTGCAATGAATTTTTTTTTTAAGTTGTATTTGATGCAGCCACTGTGCGGCTCAGCAAAACTTGCTGAAATATTATCTTAAGTGTGTTTTAACCCTTGAGTGACACAGTTTTTTGGGAATGTGTATTATTATGTTTTGAGATCCCCAAATTACGACTATTTGTAAAAGAAAAAAAATCCATCATTGCTTACGACACACCTAAAAGAGATGGAAGAAATAGGAGACATGGCTTCTTTCTTAAAGGCACTTTAAATTTAGTCAAGAAACTGCTCAAAGACACAATCATAGGTAGCAATGTATGACCATACAAAATTAAGCTAAACTGTGAGAGGTAACTAATAGGACTTCAGAGGAGGCTGGAATTAGCAAGTAGGGTTGATGGAAGAGGTGGGAATTGGAGGATGGAGTGGATTCAGTGAGGAAGACAGTAAAAGTATTTCAAGTGAGGGGAATTGCAGGGACACACCCAGAGCTGAGCTTGGGCTGGGAGACTTGCCTGGGACAGGGTGGGAATGTGAACAGATGCAGCTGTGCTCATTTGGGAAATGGTCTCATTGACAGTGTATTGCACCAGCATTTATACTGCACCAGCAATGGGCACAGAGGGTTTTATCAGCTACAGTTGCCTGACTGGAGACATTTGCAAGACTTTGGCTCATCCTGACTTTCTATGCTCCTCAGTGGACTAAGGCAAATTGTTGCTGATTTGTAAATATTTGTCATATTACAGTATAGTGATGGCTCATGGGGTGTATGGGTGAATTGGAACATAAAAACTGCCAGAAAGTCTCCTTCCCCAACAGGTCACTGCAAGGTCACTGAGATGACTCCACAAATAGAAATGCTAATATATGATGATATAATGATTCCTTAATTTCTACACATTTCCCCTCTTGGACCTACTAAGTTTACATCCTTCTGTTTGTGAACACCTCAGTGAAATGATTTCACTGGTTACCTCCCACAGAATTTGTTCTCAGTGCTCTCTCGGAAAAGAGAAGGAAATCACCCAATCACTTTACTAAATATCCTATCAAAATGAAGGCTTTTTAAATTGTACTTTGTGCTTTTAATGTTTATACATCTATATTTTATCCTGTGATCTTAGATCTTTGAAGTCCCTGGTAGAAATTCCATCTCTCCTAATGTTTGTTCGCCACATTCACTAAATGCAAAGTTTGCCTTCAGTTATGGATTAACTCCTAACCAGGAAATATTTTTTTACAAAAATGAAAATGCGTAGATTTGAAGACAATAGGCTCCTTTCTCCCTTATGGCTTGTGACTGAGGGCCTTTGAAAATTCTAGAAACCTATAAATTTGAATTAGCCGTGGGTGTTAAAGAGAATTAGCAAAGCCCAGACACTTGGATTAAAAGATTCTAACTGAAAAACAAAACAAAACACAAAAACAAAAAAAAAGGAATCCATTTCAAACCATAAAGAAAGTGACTAGGACCCCTGGTGGCCGAACGTGTCCCTGCCTCCCAGTCCAGGCACTGGAGTCTTTACAGGAGCCTCATCTCTCCAGCTCCAAGAACAAAGGGAATGATGAGAGTTCCTGCAGCCCCCCTGTTCCCACCTTCCCCAGAACCACCACCCACCTGATGTTAGCAAGTGTTCCGCTGAAGTGTAAGACCCACAAAGGAATTACGTTTTGTGGCTTTAAAGACAGATTTCTCCAAGGTAGCTTAGATCTATCAGAAGAAATACACACCGCGAAGGCACTTAGGGGAGTTTTAGAACCTTCTCGGAATTCCATATCCCAATTTTGAGCGGGGCTGCCCCTGACATATTTGAAGCAAATAAATCTACAGAAACTATCTGTGCACTGCATCTTGTAAAGTACATCAGCCTAGTATAATGGTACCCTTTTGGGTTCCAGGAATATTACAGCAATTTGGTTCCTCTTAGAAATAAGGCATTATTGAGTTCTATATATGTTCATAAATCATAAAGAGAACAGACCTCTTCTGTACCCTCAAAGCTTTTCTGTTTCTTCATCTGGAAAATGGGGATAAAAATAATATACCTGTGGTATAGAATTACTGTAACGAGTGTTGAGCTTCTATAATGATGCCTGGCATGTTATCACTCAAAAAGATAGAAGCTGCAACAAGGATTATGATAATTCCTAATTTCTACACATTTCTCCTCTCCCCACCTCTTAGCATCCACACACATATTCTCAAGTAAACTTGGATAAACTATTAATTGGGCCAAAGAGTGCATATCAGCTCCCTACAATACGTGTTTTAGCTGGAACCTGATATTCAGTATGAAATTTCCAGGCATCTTGGTCAAGGTCAGGGATGCAGTGGGAGTTTCATTGTCTCTTTTGGAGCCTGATGCATCTAGCAGGAGGTGAGTTCCTTGATTATGACTCCTGCCGTGGGTCAGCCGTTTTCAAAAGCATCCTGAGATCGAGTGAATTTAGTCTACGAGTTTAAAATCACAGGCTGAAGAATAGAGAATCCAAATGAATGTTGGGTCTTTCACGAACGTAGACTCACTGGAAGGTCTTTCCTCTCTCCCTCTTCTCTGCAGGTTAATCTCAGAGCCACGGACGCCAGGCTCATGCGCCAGCTGCTTGTGATCAACGAGAGCATCGAGTCCATCAAGTGGATGATTGAAGAGAAAGCCACCATCACCAGCCGAGGCAGCAGTCTCAGTGGCAGCCTGTGCAGCTTACTGGAGAGTCAGAGCACCTCCCTCCACGGCAGCTACAACAGCCTACACGATGGCAGCGACGGGCTGGATGGCATCTCCGTGGGGAGCTATCTGGACACCTTGGCAGATGATGTGCCAGGCCATCATACCCCGTCAGACTTGGACCAGTTCAGTGACAGCTCCGTAACGGAGGACTCCCAAGCACTGCGCAAGCCTCCCAAATTGGATTCTGAATACTACTGCTTTGGCTGATGGCCCAGGTTTTTTGCATGGGAGTAGTGTGCAATTAACTTGTATTTATCTCTCTTCTCTGCTGCTATATTTTTGGTGTGATTTTTTTTTTTACATGATAACCTTTAAAAAAAAGAAGCATATTTTGAAACTGCTTGATGATATTTCTGTTGCTCCTAATATTTCTAATCTGGATTCATCTATTTTTCTCTTTTACATCTCTATTTTTATTTATTACAATGATTTTTTTTCCTCTCCCTTCTTTTCCAGTGGCACAAAGAAAGAAGGGGGAAAGAATAAGCAATAATTATGTTTTCGCTTTTGTTTTCAGAGCAAGGGGTCAGGGATGACATCAAAAACTTTGCTAAATTTTGCAATAAACCAAAGTCTGATAACAGCTCATTTTGTTGCCTGCATTCCTAAATGATTCAAAGTGTCATTGTCTAGAAGACACCGAGGTTTATTACTGTTCATAGAGTAGATTGAACAAAATGTCTGGGACCAAGTTAGGTATTATTTCCAGTCCACAACTTCCTAGCATAAAAATCAACAAAACTGCTAGTCACGTATTTTTATGGCAATCATTTGGAAGACTCAACGATATGAAATCTATTCAGTTCAACTTTGTGTTCATAGTCTTGATCAGCACTTTCTCATCAGTGATTCCTTTATTTTTTTTTTTATTTTTTTTTTAATCCTCACCCAAAGATATTTTCCCATTGATTTTTAGAGAGAGTGGATGAGAGAGGGAAAGACAGAGAGAAATATTGTGAGAGAAGAAACACATCGATTGGTTGCCTCCTGCACACACCCTGGTCAGGGTCTGGGCCAGGGAGAAATCTGCAACCAAGATAGAGAGGGAAAGACAGAGAGAAATATCAATGTGAGAGAAACACATCGATTGGTTGCCTCCTACATGAGCCCTGACCAGGGCCCAGGCCAGGGAGGAGCCTGCAACGGAGGTACGTGCCCTTGACCGGAATCAACCTGGGACCCTTTGGTCCGCAGGCTGACGCTCTATCTACTGAGCCAAACTGGCTAGGGCTTCTCATCAGTGATGCTAACTGAAACGGTAGACTATGCTGTGTGGTAATACTTGATTCTCCCAAATTTCAAAGATAATTGAGATGAGATATGATGGTGATTAGAGGTTAAGCCCCAGGGGTGAGGAACATCCAGCCCACAGGCCATATAACGCCTATGAAATCATTTGGTCTGGCCCTGCTAAGGCATTAGGGGTGAGTTAATTAAATGTTTAATCAAATATATCAGCTAATTTTTAAGTTGATAACTTTGTGTGTCCTTCGAATGATGTTATAAATACCCAAATGGCCTTTGGTTGAAAAATGATTCCCCACCCCTGGGTTAGGGGGTCCTAAATTTAATTGTATTTTGAGATTTTCTTAACATTCACTTATATGCATTTTGCAATTGCAATCAGATATATACAAACTTAGATAGTACATATGAATGGATGGATAGCTATATTACATGCAAAGCAGAATCACTATTCACTTATATGATATCATTTTATCCTGTGGTGGATAAATAATCTCTTAATTTTGATGTGATTTTATTAATCCTTCACATTTCCTTTACCTTAATGATTCCTAGTGAGTTAATCTGTTGAGATGTCAAACTGTATTTTGTAATGATACATGTTTCTGCACAAAATATTTTATAATATGAATCAAAAAAGTATTCCTATTTAAACTAAAAACTGTCCATATTCAAAACATGGTTTCCCCAAAATGTCCTTTGTTACTGTGTACCTATAACACACTTGTCAAATGTATTGTTTGTTTCCAGGACATATATTATTCAACTTACGATTAAAATCTATAGGGTCTATCTTCTACACTGGTCCTTTTTCATAAACTTCTTGATATAATGTTCATTACAACAATTTCATAATGTGGGGATTGTCTCCCTTCTTGTTTGAGAAACTAAGATATACGGAAGGTAGGTAAATGGGTCAAATCACCCAGTCAGTGTCAGAAGTGTGATTTGAATTTGGGTATGTCTTATTCCTAACAATAACACTCAGTAGACTCTTCTGTGCCTATTGAACTTAAATAATAAAGTACAAATGAGAAAGCAAATATAAGCCGATGACAACAAGAAAAAAGTAACGAACCATTTCCCTTCCAATCACTGGGACCTGCATTTTCCAATTCTGAGCTTCCAAACCCTTTGTTGAAATCACATGTCCAGAGTCAGGTTTGTGCCTATAGGCGAATCAGGCTGTTGACCATATGCCAACTGTTCCTCATGTACTTCACTCTTTCTGCTTTCTTTTACATTCCCTTAATGAAAGCTGGTTGGTTGGCTATTTTGTTTGGATTTAATCTGAAGTTAAAGCAAGCAATTTTTAGCACAAATGACCTAGTTGAGAAAACATTCTTAGAAATATGACTGATAAATTTCAAACAGAGAGTCATGAAATATGTAACCCTATGTCTGCACCACTGCAAGGAGAATGTCCCCAATGAGAGGGAGGTGGGCAGAGAGCGAGACTATATGAAGCATCAAGAGCAAATTCTAACCCCTTCAAAACCCAGCATTTGCCTAGTTCAAGCCAGACCCACAGAAGATGATTTGCATCCTTGGATCACGGTTTCAGATGGTAAATTCAATCTGGCAAATTTCCTTTTACACCCTCCTTTTTCCAATCTGCTTCCCCTGCCTTTGTCTATCCCATACCTCTATAAGTCCCCCTTCTGGAGAAAGGAAATGAAAAAGCAGAGGAGTATTCTATGAAAGAAGTATGTGGAATAGTTTTCATTTATACATTATATTTTAAAGAACCTGTAATAAACCTTGGCAGAGTATGTAAGGATAAAAAATTTTTGGCTCTATGAGTTCCAATGTTTTATGTGCTTTACAGTTATGCCTACTTTTTTCAAAAGATACCAAATATGGACTCAGTGATTTTGACATATGGAGTCACATATAAGCCAACAATGTTTTGATACTTGAGTTTACTAAGAGGAGGGGAATGTATACAACACTAATTAATTACTAACATATTCATTGGTCTCAAGAGAACAAATGCATTTTCTGCTAAAGAATCCCCATAACTATGCCTGACCTGCAGCATTTGATGTTCGCTCTCTGTCAGCACCACAAGGAAATGGGGTAGAAACGTTTAAGCAATGGTGCCTTCCAAACTATTCTGCGTGGACTGAGTTGTGTTCTCCCAGGAAAATAGAATTTTTCTCCGTTACATTAATCTCTCCATTTTTAGAGACTTGTTTGTCTTATGAGAGGGAGATAATTGAAGGTAAGGAATTTAGACAGCTTAAAGCTAGTACATTGTGAGAGTTTGCAAAGAAATGAACTCTAGATGACTAATGCAGAAGTCTTGACTGAACTTCAAAGAAACTCCAATATTTATACTACCAGTCAGCCCCAAATTCCATAGCATAGTTTTAAGTATTTGTCAAAGTTAAGAAATGCAGTGAGGAGTCTTTGCTGTTTGGCGGATTATAAAGGCCCTTGGGGTTCCATGAATAACTTCAATCAGGCATCTGAATCCCCAACTCATCAGAACACAAGCGTCCATGATGCCAAACTGAGTGGTTATTCTGGGGCACTCATCTTACTGGCATCTCAGCAGCAGCGAACACATTTGATCACTTTTATTTATTTTTAATTTATTGCTTTTAAAGAGAGAGTAGAAGGGGGAAGGGGAGGGAGGGACTGGGAAAACACAATTCATCTCATAAAAACCTCTCTTCTGTCCTTCATTAAAAATTTTAAAAATGTATTAGGGAGGGAGGGAGGAAGGGATTTGCTGTTCCACTTACTTATGCATTCATTGGTTGGTTCTTGTATGTGCTCTGATCAAGAATCAAACCTGCAACTTTGGCAAATCAGGATTTGTTATGGTCTGTAGTCTTCCCCAGTTCAAAACATGATGCCTCCACTCACAAATGCTCAGCCCAAATCCTTGCAGTCATTTTTAGCTGCCATCTCTCACACCACAACCAATCCTTCATGCAAATCACATGAGTTCTACTTTAGAAAAACATTCAGAGCCGTGGCTGTGTGCGTGGTTAGAGTGTTGCCCTTGCACTGAAGGCTCTAAGGCTCGATTTCCAATCAGGGGCTCGAAAATGAGTTGCAGGTTGCATCCTGGCTCTGACTGGGACACATGCAGGAGGCAACCAATCAATGTCTCTCTCTCTCCCTCTTCCCCTCCCTCCTTCGCTCCAGCCCACCCCTTCCCTTCCACTCTCTTTGGAAAGCAATGGAAATATCCTCAGGTGAGAATTTAAAAAAAAATTTGGAATGAGCCACAAATTCATATTACCACTGTTACCACTCTGCCAAGTCAGCGTCATCTCTCCCTGGGACCACTGCAATAGCCCTGTCTTGTCTCCTTGCTTCCACCTTTACCTTCCTGCAGGTAGTAGTCAACATAGCAACCAGAATCATCTTTTAAAATACAAGTCAGATTTTTGCCAGCCTGTGTTGCAACTATGTAATGTACTTCCATCTCCCTCTCAGTGTAATCCAACTCTTCACAACAGATTACAAAATACTATGCAACCTGTCCTTTCTACCTGTCTGACCTCTTCTTAGTCCATACTTCCACCTCTCATTGTGAACCTCATTGGCATCCTCTCTATTCCTTAAAAATCTCAAAACCCCTGCATGTTCCCACCTCAGAATCTGTTCATTTACCATTTCCTCTTAATGAAATTTCTTCTCCCAAATATTTGTCTTGATTCCTCTGTTCTGTTTGGTCTCCAGTCAAATGGCACCTTGTTTGAAAGGACTTCTCACATAGCACACCCAGCAAATTCTGCACTTACCCTGGATGATGTTTCTTCATGTCATCCATCACTTAATACTATTGCGTGTGTGTATACTCTCTGCTTCTCTACACTAAAATGTAAGGTCTGTGAGGATGAGAACTGTGTTTTGTTCACTGCTGTCTCTCTTAGAAGAGTGTCTGTCATGTAGCAAATGCCAAATACATGTTATTTTTACTAAAACAATTATTTAACATTTACTGGGTGCCTTCCAGGTACCAGGCAATGACTACACCAGGTCTTGGGGATGCAGAAAGAAAGGAGGCATAAACTTCACTTTTAAATACCTCATTTGTAGAGTATGTTTCTTTGGTAGGAAAGATAATGCTCCACCTGCACCTCCCCAAAGATGCCCATGTCCTAATTCCTGGGATCTGTGACTACAGGGCAAAAGGAACTTTGCAGACGCGACTAAGTTAAGGGTCTTGAGATGGGAAGGTGACGCTGGATTATCCAAGGGTGTCCAATGTAATTACAAGGATCCTTACAAGAGACAGGCAGTGGTGTGAGGTAAAGAGGTGTGACCATGTTATACTTTTGGGTGCGAGGGAAGAGCCACGAGTCAAGAAATGCAAGAA